CCAAACAACCCATTTTTTACAGTCAAAAATTAAAAACAATCATAAAATAACATATTTTATCAAACAGTAAAATTCATAAAAACAAATACTAAAATAATAGTGTCTGTCATCAATGTCAGTACCAAATCAAGAATTTGAAAGCATTATGACAAGTAACTAAAATTATAAAAACCTTTCTAGTTAAAACCCAATAATAGCCCATTAATATATTGTTTAATATAAAATTTAACTTGAAATTTTCAATAACTTTTTATAATAGACAAATTTACCTATTTCAAAAAGTTGAAATACTACTATTATAACCTGTACCAACCTAAAAATAAAATAAAAATTATAACCTAAATCAACTGTTAGTAAAATTTAAACAATCAAAACACTAATATAAATTTATTCATGATATAAAATAAGTTATTAAAACACTAATCTAAAATTATTTTCAATATTAAATAGGCTATTAACTAAATATTAAGTAATAAGCAACTTTTTTATTGTCAAATGTTGAAAAAAAATGTTAAAAATATTTTTATTCTTATTTCTGACAAATTGAACTTTAAAAAAGCCTTAGGCATTACAACTTTATTATGACATGTCAATATTTTCCATAACATGTCAATATTTTAAGTTACAGTATGTTGCAGCTTTGCAGCAAATATTATTATAACTGTTATATATATATATATATATATATATATATATATATATATATATATATATATATATATATATATATATATATATATATATATATATATATATATATATATATATACATTTTTTATTTTTAAAGGTAAGTTCAAACCTTGATAACATGGTATCTATAGAGTTACTTCTAATTTTATAGCTAAAAGCTATTGTTAACTGATGTATTTAATTGATGTAATTAATGTAATTAATTGATGCATTTAAATGTTTATATACATGGGTTTCTTTTAATCATTTTTATGGTGGTTATTTAACCTTGTTAGCAAATGTCTAGAGGTTTTTCTAATATAGCTAGCATTATAGCCAGTGCAATAAAATTTGTAAACAACACAAGATTTAACCCTTACACCACTGAATTAGAAATAACTCGAATTTTGTCATTAGAAAATTCTCAACAAGAGTAACCAAATCAGTCAGAATGTGTTCAAAAATGTAGTTGTTAGTAGGAAATTTTACAGATGAAAAATGGTTTTAGTGGTTAAAACCGAATTTAAATAGTATTACATTTTAGTGATGTCTGTCTATAGACTGTCTTAATGGTTTAAGGCTAAAATACCTTGAGAAGTGGATCTTTAAAAACAAAAACTACTTTATATTTTATTAGCAGCTTGCTACAAATGTTGGGCCAAAATTTAAAATTTATAATTTTATACAACTATTTTTTTAATTTTAATAACTTAATAATACAAAACAACTGTTGTGCAAAACATCACACATGAAGAAACTTGCAAAATAGTATCCACAAGTATGTAACTATTTATTAGATAATTCTGGTTTTTGAATTTTGTGAGATGAAGAAGATGAATCAAAGTGATTATTATTTAGATAAATTTTATAAATAATAAAATTTATTATCCTGCCTAACCCTAAACCACAAGTAAATATATAAATTGAGGCCCTAGGAACTGCCTCTTTTAGTATAACATTATATGGGCCTATTTAACATTGTATTTATGTATATGTACATAATATATACACATATACATAAATGCATATATTTAAACATATATATATATATATATATATATATATATATATATATATATATATATATATATATATATATATATATATATATATATATATATATATATATATATATATATATATATATATACATATGAAAGTTAGTTTGTTTTAAAAATGTGTTTTACAAAACACATGATTTAATAAGTAAAAATTTAAATAATAATTTGATATTAAACACTTTATAAAGAAACCAAGGTCAAAATTGAGTACTTGAAATTTTAAAGCAGTTTTTATATAAACAAAACAGCTGAAAAGTCAAACGTTTAATTTATAAATTTACAAATTTGAGTCTTAAACAAAAATCTTTTTTAAAATACATTTTTTTCAGTGTTTCAATTCCTTTTTCACATATTTCCTTTTACTTCTTTCCTTTTACTACTCTAATTTTACTGCAACTCGTTTAGTTAAATCTTTCTTATAGTTAAATGTTTATGTTTAAATCATACTCCAGATTTGAATTTCCGGTTAGCTTGTTTAGCTAAGGCGTTACGTATAATTTTTTCTAGGAAAGATAGTTTCTCGGAAAAATATTACGGATAAATATTATCTGAAAAAGATGCAATGCATCTTCCTGGATTTCAAGTAGACCTATATAAGCATTTTGAGCGGTCCACTGTAGTTTTACTTATAGGCTACTAAGTGGCAGTCGCCTATATCACATGACTAGCCAATATATCACATGTTCGGCTAAAATCTATCTATCTTAGTGACGGATGCATGATTTTTTGGTGTTTGAGATAATTATGTCAAATAACGATGCTTTGCAAAAAATTATGATGATTGGAAGCTGGGGGTAGAAAAGCCCTTATATGTCATCCCACCTCCCACCCCCATTCAAAACGTGAGGGGCAACAAGTTGATAAAATACTTTTTTGTTCTATTCTCAACTGGAGTTATATTCATCAATAAATTTTAAGTTTCGTAGTATTATCTCTCAGCGTTTAAAAATTATGACCACTTGGTGTAATTAAGACGAGTGTGGTTGGGTAGGTACAATCGGCGGGGCGGGTTATTTTAACGGTACAAACGGCGGGGCGAATAATTTAAACGTTGCTAACATTTTATAATGCAAGTCATACTTCATTAAATAATCCGCCTAATATTATGATTGCTTATATCAAACTTTTTAAGTTTTACCAATTGTTCTACCAAGAAACAATGTGATCCGCCAAACTTTATGATGTGGTCAGCTTAATATTTTGATTGCTTATATCAAACTCTTTAAATTTAAATGATTTTTTGCGAAAAAAACAACGTGATCCACCAATTTATATCAAGTGATCTGCCAAACTTTATATAGTAATTCGTCTAATATTTTGACTGCTTATATTAAACTTTTTAAGATTTAATGATTGTTCATTCAAAAAACGACGTGATCCGCCATTTATCCGCCATTTATCCGCCATTTATCCGCATTTATTCGCAATTAAAATGTTATTTTATATAATAAATTGGCGGATCACGTTGTTTTTTGTAAAAATGATTTTAAAACTATATAATATTTTTCGTCGTTTATTAAAATTATAGTTTGCAAATACCTTTCAAATATTATTTCTTTAATAAACTTAAACTATATCTGAATCTATAAAAAATACTTATCAAATAAAAAAAAAATAAAAAGTTTTTTTTATTTTATTTAATGAAGTATGACTTGCATTAGCAACATTTAAATTATCCGCCCCGCCGTTTGTACCGTTAAAATGATCCGCCCCGCTGATCCGCCCCACCCCGCCGATTGTACCTACCCAGTGTGGTTAATTCGGTGTAGTTATAGGGCTGTATAATAATTTACTGACTACAACATATTTCCGTTAAATCATCAGGTCTGTGAATAAAAAATTGACAGAAAAAAAAAAATGATAAATGTTGCCGTAACAAAATATGTAGCGAAAAAATCCAGACAGAAGATTTTTTTTTTTAATTTTTTTTAATCACAATCGCTTGTTCAAACTTGAATGAGGTTTTAAGTAAAAACACTTTTAAGGTGAAATGAGCATCATAGTTTAATAATATGATCTGTTCTGGTCGTTTATTGGCAATTTTTCTTAATTATAAGCGTTTTCTTGGACGGAATTCTAATATTTTTTGTGAAAATTGATAGAAATGTTGTATTTTGACAATTATATTGAATTATTATGCGCTTGAACCGACTAGAGCTATGATATATATATATATGACTATAGAACTTTTTCAAATATTTCAATTAAAATTAAGTTAACGATGATATAAAAGCTTTATGAATATAATATGTAAGCTAAATGAATATAAGTCTAGTTTGGAATAATACAATAAAAACTTTATCAACTTGTTGCCCTCACATTTGGGCCAGGGGTGTGGGGAAATGAAATTTAGGGCTTTTTTGTTCCCAGCCTCCAATTATCGCAGTTTTTTGCTAAGCATCAAGATTTAACATGAAAATAAACATACAAATATCTAGAATTTGCTCTATGTATGGAAGTTAGCTATCTCAAACACCAAAAAAATGCTGGATCCGTTAGATAGATAGATAGATAGATAGATAGTTAGGTAGATAGATAGATTTTAACCAACAACTTTCAAATATGTGATATAATAGCTAGTCTCCGGTTAGCCGTTTTTTGTTGCTGCTACTAATGGTTTTTTTTGTTTTTTTTTTTTTTTTTTTTTTGCCGTTTCATATATTTACAATATAGACATATTACATTTATAAAAATTGGCCGGAGCAAGAAGAAGACAATGACTGTCTTATCGCCGAGCCCCGTTTACAAATTGCCCGTGTTTATAAACAAATATAAATAAAATATACAAAAAAACGTTAAAGAGTACATAACTTTTGTCAAATAATAAAATGACATTTATATTAAAATTTAAAAGTAAAGAAAGTTTTGTATACTAATACAAATATATTTGATACATATAACAAAATATATTTAATGATAATGGGAGCGTTTGTTTCTATTTTAAAATTTCCTTTTAAAAAAAATACTTAAAGTCTATTGAATTAAAATCTAATTGAAGTAAGATTCTTTTAGAAACTGCTTTAAATTTTTCTAAAGAGTGTTCTTTATTAAAGTTTTTAATAAAATTTTTCCATAAAAAAGGTCCTCGATATTTAATTTGATAAGAACTTATTTTTAAATTTATTCTCGGAACAATAAAGTTGTCCTCTGAAAACTTTGTTGGATACTTATGAGATATTTCGCTAAAATAAGATTGAAATATAAGTGGAGATATTCCATGTTTCATTTTAAACATGAAAAGGTAATGTTTGGTAAATGTTTAGTTTATAAATGTTTAAGGCCTTGAGACGATTTAATAGTGGTTCGCAATAAACAGTTCTGTTTGCCCCAAATACAATCCTACAAGCATGCTTTTGTTTACTATAAAGTTTTTTGAGTTTTCCGTAATTCGTACTTCCCCATGCAATGTTGCAGTAAGAAAGATAGCTGTGAATAAATGAAAAATAAATTTTCATTAGAGCTTTTGCGTTTAAAAATGGTTTTGTTTTATAAAGTACGGAAATATTATAAGAGATTTTACTTTCAATAGATTGGATGTGAAACTTCCATGACAAATTTTCATCAAGAATTACGCCTAAAAAATTAACAGTAGATTCCCTTTTTACATCTGTTTTATTGAATAAAAGATTTGTCAGTTTAAGTGGAATTTTATCAACTTTATTTGGTTTGTGGAACAGGATGAATTTAGTTTTATCTACATTTAGTGAAAGGCGGTTACTTATAAACCATTCATTTACTTTAGATAATTCTTCATTAAAAATTTTAAAGAGAATTTTTATATCTCTGTGAAAATAAAACAGATTGGAATCGTCAGCAAACAATATAAGATATAATTTTTTAGATGCTAAAAATAAGTCGTTTATATATATTAGAAACAATAATGGTCCTAAGATAGATCCTTGAGGAACCCCGCAATTTATAAGCTTTTTTTTGGTTTCATTTGTTTCATAGGTTATGCATTGTTTTCTGTTAGTCAAGTAGTTTTTAAACCAAAGTAAGTTTAAGTTGTTTACTCCATAAAGTTTTAATTTTTTTATACGGATTTCATGATTGACAGTGTCAAATGCTTTGAATAAATCAATGAAAACTCCTAAGGTAAAATAATCTTTATCAAAAGCATCCGATATATGGTTTACAAGCTCAATTACCGCGTGATCCGTAGAATGATTTTTTTTAAACCCAAATTGTTTGTTGTACAGAATATTATTTGATACTAGATGATTATAAAGCCTATTGTGCATAATGCGTTCTAGCAATTTAGAGAAACAAGGTAATACAGAAATAGGTCTATAGTTTGAAACATTTGTTTTTTCACCTGACTTAAAAATCGGTGTGATTTTGGCTATTTTAAGTTTGTCTGGTACAATACCAGACGTTAATGAGAGATTAAAAATGTGAAACAATAAGGGTTCAATAATATCAAAGACTGATTTAACTACATTGACGCTAATTTTATCTATGTCTGTACTTTTGTTATTTTTCAGAGAGCAAAAGGCATTATGCAACTCACTTATATTTAAATTTAGTTCTGTCATAACATTATTTGCTGTTTTGAGGTATGTTTCAAATTTTATGCTACTAGATGGAATTTTAGCCGCCAGATTTGGACCAATCTCAAGAAAAAAACTGTTTAGCTTTTCAGCTATAATTTCTTTATCATAAACAACTTTTTCATCAATTAACAGTTTTTGTGGCAAATTGTTTTTAATCGAAATATTTTTGCCAATTATTTCTTTTATTATATTCCAATTTTTTTTTGTATTTCCATTACTTTTTTCTAATAGCTTTTCATAATAAGATTTTTTTGAAAATTTTTTCGTTTTTTCAAACAAATTTTTGTAGTTTTTGTATATTATTTCATTGTGATATGTTTTATGTCGTAGATATTTTTCATATAGTTTTTGTTTTTTCTTTGAAGATTTGATTAAACCTTTTGTCATCCACGGATTTAAAATAGACTTAGAATTTAAATTTTGTTCGATTAAAGGAAATGCCTTATTATATTGTTTACTAAAAAACGTGAGGAATAATTCATAAGAATTATTTGCATTTTGTGTTTCACACACTAAGTTCCAATCAACAGAATTTTTTAATAGATGGCGAAATTGTGCTAAGGAGTTTTCATTAATTTGACGTACCAATATTTTGATTTTATGGAATTGCTTTTTAATGTTATGTTTTTAGTGGTTAGAAAGATAGGAAAATGATCACTTATGTCGGTTTTAATTATGCCTGTTCTTATGCAGGATTTGTTTGTTATTAAGTTATCGACTAATGTTGAAGATGTCTTTGTTATTCTTGTTGCCTTATTTATTGTTGGAATAAAATTATATTGCAAAATGGTGTCAATAAAGCATTTAGCATCATTTTTTGATGCATAATTCAAAATGTTTATGTTAAAATCTCCAACTAAGTATACATGTTTCCGATTTTTACTGGTTTGGGTTAGAAATTTTTTAATGTGAGCTTTAAAATTTTTTAAGTTTCCAGCTGGTTGTCTATAAATAGAGTTAACGAAAATGTTTTTATCCTTTTTATTTATTATTTCAATGCATAACGATTCACAATCTGTTTCATTCACGCAAAGATCATTACGGTGAATAAAATTTAATGAGTTGTGAATAAAAATACTCACCCCACCACCAGCATGATTATGACGCGATTGATGAACTGATGCGTAATTGGCTAATTCAAAACGTGCGTATTTTTCATTGTTTTTAAGCCACGTTTCTGTAAGGCAGATAATTTAAAAATCGTGTTTGAGGTTATGCAATAAAATTTTAAAGTTTTCAAAGTTTTTACTCATACTCCGAATGTTCAGAGTTAAAATTGAGAAAGTATTATTGTTCTGAGAAAAAAAATGAGTAGATTCAGAAATTATAAAATACTCATTTTCAAAGCTTTTTTCACAAAAAAAATTTTCATTATCATTATCACTAAGCTTTAGATCTTCGTAGTTAAATTTTGTAAAAAATGGTTCACTAACAGGGGCGGATCCAGGGTGTCGCGAATGATGCGCATGCATCAGTCTTTTTTCAATGCTAAATTTAAGTGTATCTCTTTTTCACTTTTTTTTCTTAATAAAAAGTAAAAGTAGAAATTGGAATCTGGTATTCTCAAAAAAAAAAATACTTGTTTGAAACTCGAAAAAAATTCATTTAATTTTATCTCTATAGTTACTTATTCGTTACTTATACAAAATTCCTGCGTTTTGGAGCAACTGATGCAATTGTTCTTCATTAAATACAAATGTGATTGGTTAAAAAAATAAAAAGTACGTTTTAACCAATCATATTTGTACTTTTTCACAAATTTTTCCGATCACTTTGTAGCAACTGATGCAATTGTACTCTAAATCATTAATGATTGGTTAAAAAACAGTTTAAACCAATCACTATTTAATAAAATAACAATTGCATCAGTTGCTACAAAACTTCCGCAAAAAACTTTACGAAATGTTATTTATAACCAATCAAATTTGTAGAAAGTTTAGAACAATTGCATCAGTTGCTCCAAATCGTTCAAATTTGACAAAATTCTGATACGCCACCTGATAAACGTTCTTCGCTTGTAATTTTTGTCATTGGACTTAGTTTGTAAACTAAAGTTTAAAAAAAAAATGAATTGTTTAGTCTCAAATGCAATTAAGGCTAGACATTTGCCAAATATTCGCAAATATAAAAACCAGTTGACTGAAGAATTGAAAGTTTTAAATAATATTATTATTTGAACTGAACTGGACTCTTATTATTAATAAAAGTCCAGTTCAGCCACATAGTCAGTCTTCTGAAAATACTGAAATGGATCGTTTTATCCCAAAGCAAAAAGATACTAAAGATTATGTTGCTTTAAGGTAAAACCCTATTATTAAAGTTAATGGTATTTTATATTTCCAGCTAGTATTTAATATAAACTGAGCTTGTTTTAGTATACTTTTTATTTTATTTAAGGTCATCTGAAGATGGAAATTGCCTCTACAGTTCAGCTTCTCTTTTAAGCAATTCGTCTCTGAAGACAGTTAATGTATTGAGGCTTCTAACTTCGATTGAATTGTTTGAAAAAGCTTCCTACTATGCGAGGTACTCCCTTTTTGTTAAACAGGTTGAAAACAATAATTCTAATCTTTCCAGTGTTCTAGTAGCCTGTGTTTCTTTTGAATGTTCAGATCAATTTAAATTAATTAACAGTGAATCAGCTTCTGAAATTATAATAATGGAAGCATTGATCAACTGCCAAGCTAACAAGTTTTCTTCGTTTTTATGTCTAATTGCTTTGTCATCAGTTTTAAATGTTCCTATTAGATCAATTTATCCTGATTTTGGCTTAGAAAAATTCAAAAAACTTTTTAATGCAATTATTTTTCCATTTCGTTCAATTAAAAATCAAGATCAAAATGTTTTGAATATTTTATGGTGTAATACTGATATTATGTCAGTGATGCAAAATAATAATAACTGGACACCGAACCATTTTGTACTAATTATTATAAGCCTAAACTAATTTCTAGCATTAATTAGATTTTGGCTATAAAAAACGATGCTACTTATTCTTTACACTTTTTTAGTCCTAAAACTGAAACAAATAAAAAAAACAACTTGATTCTGCAAAACATGTCAAAATTCAATCTAAAATTAACTTTAAAAAAGACAATGCTTTCATAGAGTTGCCTTTTGAACCTTTTGTAGATTCAAAAATAGTTAAGTCATTAGACTCCAACTCAGTTATTATTCCTTCATATAATGAATTAAATTCTTTGTATGACGTTTCAACATATCTTGTTTGAGGTAAACTTTTAATCGCTGGCAAAGATGATTCTATTTTGTTAGATATGATAAACAAAGTATTTTGTCCTAATTCTATGTTTGTTTTTCCAATATCTTTAAATACAAAAAGATCATTTAAATTTGAATGGCTCAGCCAGTTTTCTTGGTTAGCTTATTCTAGCAAAGAAGATGGAGCTTACTGTCTTGCTAGGTGCTAGTATTCCAAATAAGTCTGGAATATTAAATTTAGTTTTCAAGCCCCATCAAGAGTGGGGTAATGCTGTTCGTGATTATAGAAAACATGTGGAAAATTGTGTTTTACATAAAAAAAATCTATGCTTTCATTTAATGCATTGCTTTCACGTTGCAATTCCAAAAGTAATGTTATTGAGGTTGATTTAAATAATTCTCGTTTGAAACTTCTTTCTGATAACCGAAAAAAATTAGTTCCAATAATTAAAACAATAATATTTCTTGGTAGAAACGATCTAGCATTTCGTGGATATCGTGATGATAGCAAATATCATCCTGATATTGGGGAATCTTCTACACAAAAAGTAGGAGTTGGTAACTTCATATAGCTTTTAAATTTTCGTGTTGATGCTGGGGATCAAATATTATTTAATCATCTTTCTTCAAGTCCAAAAAATGCAACCTATATATCAAAAACTACCCAAAACCAACTTATTGATTCTTGTGGGAAAGCAATTGAGGAAGTTTTAATAAGAAATGTCAAGCATTCAATTTTTTTTTCAATTCTTTGTGATGAAGCAGTTGACTGTTCAAATACGGTGTCCTATGATTCAACCGAATCCCTTATTTCAATTTAGAACCGAATATGAGAAATTTATTACACAACCGAAAATATTTACAAAAAAAATTAGAACCGAAAAATTTCAATCAAATTTTCGATCGAAAGTCATAAATGATTTTAGAACCAAAAAAATTTCGATAGAATTTTCAATCAAAAGTCATTAATGATTTTAGAACCGAATTTCATTAAAATGGTTTACAACCGAAAGTTACACTGTTATCAAACATTGTATATATATATATATATATATATATATATATATATATATATATATATATATATATATATATATATATATATATATGTACATATATTTATATATTTATATATATATATATATATATATATATATATATATTATATATATATATATATATATATATATATGTATGTATGTATGTATGTATATATATATTTTAATAGTAAAATTTTAATAATAAAAAAAAAAAAGATTAAAAAAAGAAAGGATTTTGCAATTCGATCCTGCAATGAAATTATACTTTTCGGTTCTAAAATTTTCGGTTGTGAAATATTTCGGTGATATTTTCGAAGATAAATATTTTCGGCTCTATCATGTGACACGTTCAAATACTGAACTAATGTCACTTGTTTTAAGATATGTAAATTCAAATAATGAGATTTGCGAGGATTTCTTAAGATTTATTGATTGCAAGATTGGTACATCTGGTCTTAGTCTATATCTAAATGTACCTAATGCACTTCAAGAGTTCGGACTTGATATTCAAAATTGTAGAGGTTAAGGGTTGACCTATACAATTGCAAAACGGTGCGGGTTGTATGGCAGGTGAGTATAAAGGAGTTGCTTCTCGAATAAAAGCTCTTAATTATAAAGCTATATTTGTTCATTGTGCAAGCCATAGATTTAGTTTAGTAGTAGCAGCTGCATGCCAAGTTCAAAAAGTAAAAAATCTTCTTGGCCAAGTAAAAGAAATTTCTTATTTTTTTAACTTATCTCCTAAACGTAGTAACTGTCTCAAAAAATATTTAAGTCCAAATCAAGAAAAAATAATAGATACTTGTTGAACAAGATGGGTTCAACAACTGAGAGGTGTTGATGTTTTTTTTGATAATTTTATACTTATTATTCATGCTTTAGAGGAGATGGGATTAAATGAGTCAAAGGAATATAACAGTGAAACTGCTTCCAAATCCTCTACTTTTTTAAGATTATTAACAGATTTCTCTTTTATTGTAAGTTTAGTTATTACAAAACAATGGATTTTTTTAATGCAATTACTGTAACTCTTCAAACTAAATCTTTTGACATATCCCAGCAGTGTTTTGAAATAACTAATCTAAAAAATCTGTTATTAGAAATTAAAAATAAAATTTATATATATCACACTGAATGGTACGCTATCGCTCTTAGTTTAGCCAAAACTCTTGATATACAAGAAGTGAGACCTAGATTGTGTAATGTCCAGGTTTACCGGGATAATTATCCAACAAATACAGTTTGTGACTATTTTAAACATAGCATTACTTCTCCATTAGTTGAAAATCTTATTAATGAGCTAGATAATAGGTTTCCAGAAAATGACATGTTTGTTTATAAAGGTCTAGCAGCAGTTCCTTCAACTGTACTATCCAGAATACAAGTTAAAAAACCATGGAAATCTGATTTTTTATAAATTTTTAAATTTCTATTTATCTGATATGCCTCATTTTACTTCAATACATGCTGAGTTAGATTTATGGGAATTATTTTGGAAAAACCAGTCAAGTATTCCTTCAACTGTTGCTGGTACTTTAAAGTCCATTGACATGAGAGGTTTTCCAAATATAAGGACAGCATTTATAATTTTAGGAACAATTCCAATAACAACTTGTGAATGTGAAAGAAGTATTTCAGTTATACGTAGGCTAAAAACATACTCCAGAAGAAATATAATTGAGTCTCGCATTTAACTCTTTAGCATTAATGTCCGTAAATCAAGAAATTTTTCCAGATGTTGAAAGAGTCATTGACATTTTTTCAAAGTCAGGTGAAAGACGTTTAAATTTAGCTTTTATTTAGTAGTGTACTAACTTTTATTTTACTTTTTTCTAATTTGATTTTTACTAATATTGTGTGTGTGTGCGTGCGTGCGCGTGTGTGTGTGTGTGTGTGTGTATTTAAAATATAGAACTTCAATAAAAAAATATAACAAAAATTATTAGAACAAAAAACATTTTAAAATTAAAAAAAAAAAGAATCCAGATATGGAGGGCTAACCTTAGGCAAGATTAATAATATAATATAAGATTAATAATATAAAATAAAATAAAGATAAAATCCAGAAATGGAGGACTAACCTTTATTATTATATTTCTAGTTACTTAACCTAATATTACTTAACCTTAATAAATAACCTAATATTACTTTACATGACGTGCCTCTCAAGAAAAGGAAAGAATCCAGAAATGGAGGACTAACCTTGGGCAAAATGACAGTATACAGATGAAGTGCAAAGTCCTATGGCTTACCTTCTCGTTGGTGCACTTTGTTAAGTAAATTAGGCTTAAAATTACATGTCTAATTTATGAACAAAATAGCCAAGGCAACATTTGTAAAAATTTCTGCTAAAAATGGATACTGGAAAAGAAATATATTTAGTTACTATTCAATGATATAAACAGCGACGCCACTCGTAAAAAAAGCTGCCTGGGGCGTGTCCGCCCCACCCTCGCTACGCCTTTTAATGTTTCTCCACTTTTTGTATTGACTATATTTGAACCCTAGAGAAGTTGCGGGGGGGGGGGGGGGGGGACGTCAATAATAAAATTTCGCATCACCCATTTAAAATGCTAGATCCGCCCCTGACTAAGGAACCGATAAGCAAAACTACAGTAGACCGCTAAAAACCCTAATATAGGTTCAATAAAATTTCGCTATAGAATTTTTACTGGGTATGATAATACACTTTATTTTGAAACATGGTGTAATTTTTAAAGTGTGCAGCCGATAACTTTCCCACATGTGTTATAGTGTCATCGGCTAGCCTCTTTTTGAGGCTGCTACTAATGGTTTACTAAGTAACCGATGAGAAAAACTACCGAGCAAACATTGTTTTAGTGGATTTGCAGTAGACTTATATAGTCATTTTTTAGTAGTTCATTGGAATTTTGTTTATCAGTAACTTAATGGACCATTATAGGCAGCTGCTATAAATGGCAAACCGATAACTTTCCGACATATTAATAGTGGCTAGTCATTAACTATTCATTTTTGGCTGCTGCCACTAGTGATCCATTAAGTAACCGATGAGCAAAACGGCAATGATCTGCTAATAATAGCTATATATGTTCACTGAAATTTCAATATAAAATGTTTGCTGGGACATTCTATCTACTATTCTAGTTTAACAGGTTAACCCACTGTTAAACATCCAAATCACTCTGGCTTCAATTGCTTAAGTCATTTTTCAATTAAACTTTTTTACTGCTTGTGGTCCAGACAAAGTTTCTGTCATAGTTTTATAAAAGTGTTTTGCAGAATTCTTTTCACTTCTCTCTAAACTATTCAATAAAGCTGTAAAATTATATCCGTGGTTCCAATTTTTGGATTTTCCGTATTTGGCAACTAATGAAATAGAGCACGGGAAAAAATAAAAAAAGTACAAGATTACCTAATGCAAAATTAAAAACAAATTAATTAATGAGCCTAATAAAATTGCTTTTAAATTTAATAAATTTTTTTCTTCAATCGGAACAAGCTTATCAAATAAAATTCCTTATCTTAATGACAAATCAATTGACGAGTTTATAACATCACCTAATTTAACTTAAAATTTTTCACAGCGAATTTGAAGCAGCGTTGAAATCATTAAAACGGAATAAGGCAATTGGGGCTGATTCATGGCCTACTTAAATTACTTTAAGTAGGCCATGGCTGATTGCATCAATGGAAATGTTATAATAAACTCCTTTGACGTTTTGAAAGATATACTCTTTAAAATTTGTAAAGCTTCTATTGCTCAAGGATCCTTTCCAGACTTTCTAAAAGTAGCAAAAGTTACTCCTAAAATACTAGAAAAAATAATGCATAACAGAGTCTACAATTATTTTGTTGATACTAAATTTTTATATAATAATCAATTCGGCTTCCAGAGAAACTATTCTACTGAACACGCCATACTTCAACTAACACGCAGCATTTCTGATTCTTTTAAAAATTTTTATTATACCCTAGGAGTATTCATCGATTTGTCTTAAGCTTTTGATACTGTCGATCACGACATTCTATTAAAAAAATTAGAACTCAATGGAATTAAAGATAAATCCCTAAGCTGGTTCAAAGGCTATCTTAGTAATCGTAAGCAGTTTGTTAATATCCAAGACTCTTCTTTGCCTTTATTAATGAATGTAACATGTGGTGTCCCTCAGGGATCCATAGTTAGGCCCCCATTATTTTTAATATATATAAATGACCTCAACAAAGCCTCTAACTTAACCACTATAATTTTTGCTGATGACACAAACCTATTCCAATCTCATGATTGATGAATAAATACACTTTTTGATAATATGATACAAGAATTAAATAAAATCTCATATTGGTTTAAGAAAAACAAATTGTCCCTTAATATTGATAAAACAAAATGGACGCTTTTTTACCCAACATCCAGAAAAAAAAGTTTACCGAATACACTGCCCAACCTCTTCATTGACAATACAATACTAAAAAGGAAAAAAGTTACAAAACTTCTCGGAGTTCTTGTAGACGAAAACTTATCCTGGAAACAACAAATTGATAATATCTCCTTGAAAGTTGCTAAAAGTATTGGAATTATATATAAAGTTCGACATATTTTAAATAAACAACAATTAAAACAACTATATTATTCGTTCTCAACGGCATTAATGCAAGTTTTCATACTTTTTGCTTGTTCTCGGTGATAACAAACATACTTTTTTTCCGGTCTGCAACATTTGTTTAGATTTTGTTTAAGTCATAATTCATTTTAGTCATAAAAAGTTAGGCTAACGGTCTTTCGTATAATTCAAAATAAGATTTTGAATTTTACAAAAATCGCAGACCTAGAATACTTTTGACGGTTGATACGCATGCGCTTTAAGTGCACCTTATTCTGAATTATACGAACAACCGCTAGCCAATATCTTATTTTGAATTCTGGAACAAAACCCTCCGAATTGTATTAAAACGAGCCCTCGCTCTACAAAATTTTGTAATACTCTTTAGATTAAAATGAGTGAAGATAATTCTTCTCTAAATTTTGAGCATTTATTAGGTATGAAGTTTTTCTTTACCTTTTTTTTTGTAAAATATATGATGCCGAAATAAGAATATACTTATTTCTTTTCAATCTTTTTTTTTTTTTTTTTATAATTTAAAGTGTATTATAAACGTTTACCAAGTTTAGAATGTAAATTTAGAACATTGCTCTTGAAATAAATTTATTTACTGAAATGTTTATGCAGTTTTAATCAAATATGTACCATGTTTTGAAAGTATACTTTAGTTTTTTGTATGAAATTTTTAAATTAATATAATGAAAATTCATTCAAAAAAACCATTTTGTATGTTGTATACTAGATAATATACTTGATAACCTGGTTAATATAGCTTTGATTGTTTGTTTAAAAATAGATGCACAGCAAATTGATGCACAACCAAACACTGCTGAAGCTTTAAATCCGGCTGCTGCGACAGAAAATAAGTACATATTGGCCAGATATGCAAATGCAAGAATAATAGAGCAAAATGTTTCACAGAGTGCATTATGTTGTAACTTTTAATTGAGAAATGGAAAAAATGTTGAAGGTTTGCAATATTAAATAATTTTTTTTTAATGTTTTTTACAATACTAGCTTTTTAATTTACTGCATGTGAAGTAAACATTTTTATAGAAGAGAGTGTAGATATTTTTATAGAAGAGAGTGAGAGCATTAGAATATCACCGCACCTTAGAATATCACCGCACCAGTAGAAATAATGAAAACGAGGATGCGTTTTGAAGTAATAGAACTTAGTAGAGTACCGAGTACGTCCGAATAATACAAGAACGTTGAAAAAATGTTGTTTTTTAACAAACAATATCTAGTATGTTGGTTTTTAAACAAAATACATGGGTGATGTGATATTCTAAACATATAATAGTGTATTTCTAAGTTTTTTGAAGGTGATGTGATATTTTAAAATTCTAAGCACTATCTACGATATTGTTTTTTAACAAAGTATATGGGTGATATGATATTCTAAACATATATAAGTGTATTTCTAAATTTTATAAAGGTGATGTGATATTCTAACATTTTAAGCACTATCTAATATGTTGTTTTTTTAACAAATTAGATGGGTGGTGTAATATTCTAAACATAAAATAGTGTATTTTTTTAATTTTACTAAGGCGATGTGATATTCTAACATTTTAAGCGCTACTTAGTATGTTGTTTTTTTAACAAATTACATGGGTGATGTGATATTCTAAACATGTAATAGTGTATTTTTAAATTTTATAAAAGTGATGTAATATTCTATCTAAGCACTATCCAGTATGTTGTTTTTTAACAAAATACATGGGTGATGTAATATTCTAAACATCAAATGGTGTATATTTTAATTTTATTAAGGTGATGTGATATTCTAACATTCTAAGCACAACCTAGTTTGTTATTTTTTAACAAAATACATGGGTAATGTAATATTCTAAACATGTAATAGTGTATTTTCTAGTTTTATTAAGGTGATGTGATATTCTAACATTCTAAGCACTATCCAGTATGTTGTTTTTTTAACAAATTACATGGGTGATGTAATATTCTAAACTTCAAATAGTGTATTTTCTAGTTTTATTAAGGTGATGTGATTTTTTAACATTCTGAGCACTATCCAGTATGTTATTTTTTAACAAAATACATCGGTGATGTAATATTCTAAACATGTAATAGTGTATTTTCTAGTTTTATTAAGGTGATGTGATATTCTAACATTCTAAGCACTATCCAGTATGTTGTTTTTTAACAAAATACATCGGTGATGTAATATTCTAAACTTCAAATAGTGTATATTTTAATTTTATTAAGGTGATGTGATATTCTAACATTCTAAGCACAATCTTGTTTGTTATTTTTTAACAAAATACATGGGTGATGTAATATTCTAAACATGTAATAGTGTATTTTCTAGTTTTATTAAGGTGATGTGATATTCTAACATTCTAAGCACTATCCAGTATGTTATTTTTTAACAAAATACATCGGTGATGTAGTATTCTAAACTTCAAATAGTGTATATTTTAATTTTATTAAGGTGATGTGATATTCTAACATTCTAAACACTATATAGATTGTTTTTTTTAAACTAAGTACATGGGTGATGTGATATTCTAAACAAATAATAGTATATTTCCAATTTTTATTAAAGCGATGTGATATTCTAACATTCTAAGCTCTATATAGTTTGTTGTTTTTAAACAAAATACATGGGCGATGTTATATTTTTAACATATGATAGTATATTTCTAAATTTTATTAAGGGGATGTGATATTCTAACATTCTAAGAACTATCTAGTATGTTTTTTTTAACAAAGTACAAGGGTGATGTGATATTCTAAACATATAATACCGGTAGCATACCATATATTTCTTAGTTTCTTTAAGGCAATGTGATATTCTAAGGTTCTAAGCATCAAATACAAATAATTTTTATAAGATTAATGAACAATATACATGGGGGATGTGACATTCAAAATATTTGTTTCTTATAGTGTGCAATATATTTCCTAATTATAATAAGGAAATGTCATATTCTAAGTTTTTAAACTAAAAGTACAACTAATTAGTATGATATTTATAAACAAAGTACACGGGGGATGTGATATTGTAAACATACAGTGATAGTTAGTGATATATTTCTTAATTAATTTGCTGGATGTGATATTTTAAGGTTCATAGCAGAAAATACAACTAATTTTTATGACATATATAAACAATATACATGGGGGGGGGGGGTGATATTTTAAGTAATATAAAACTGTTAGTTGACAATAGATTTCTTATTTACATCTAAGATTCAAAGCAGCAAATAAGACTAACTATGAAATTTTTTAACAATATACATTGGAATTTTGATATTTTATATATATAACATGTATAATACTGGTAGTACATAGGGGGTATGACATTCTAAACATATTGGTAGTTTGCGGTATAATTCTTAGTTACACTAAGGGAGTGTAATATTCTAAGCAGCAAATTTGACTAACTATGACATTTATAAACAATATACATAGGGGATGTGTGTCTAAACATAATACTATAATATGCGTTATATTTCTTAATTTTATTACGAGAGGAGATTTATTAGGATAGTATTCTAAGATGCTACTCTAAGAGATTTATTATAATAATATTCTTTTTTTAGGTTTCATCTTGTTGTCCCTGGCCACTAGCATTATGTTTTGTTGCATTTTATCAGACTTGTATGGTCACTACTTTTGAAGCCTTTCTGACTGAACAATACCCAGCTGTTTGTCATTGTTGTGAAACCGTAATAAATAAGTCTATATTAAATATTTTCGGCTTTTATCAAATATTAAATCAAACACACTTCGAGATCTACAAAACAGATTTTATAACACATCAATTAAATATAATTAGAATAACTTAAGTTCATTCAACCGTATTCTATAATGACGTGATTGGCGTCAAATAGTTCTTAAGAATATAACAGTCATCAATGCCATCTATATCATGTGATGTAACACTGACTGCTATCACTTTTTAAAAAAACAGTTAGTTAAAGTCTTCTTCAATCTGTTTCACTCGTAAGATATTTCTTTATATTATTATATATATTTTCCATTAAAATAAATACAGAATATCTTACCTTTAAGATTTATATATATTATTGTATATATTTTCCATTAAAATAAATACAGAATATCTTACCTTTAAGAGTATTTATAATTTTTTGCCTGATGTTGTCTTTAAGTATCCCAATCTTCAATTGTAGATTGCAGCTACTAATGAAGTTTGTAGGCGAATACCTATACTATATCAAGCAGAAACCAAAGCAGTACAACCAGCACATATTTTTTCAGCACTTATGTTTATCATTATCTTATCCATCCTCCTAAACCAAATATGTTTATTCTTATCCAAATATTCTCCATCCTCCTAAACCAAATATGTTTGTTCTCTACTGATTTCTAGAATGATTGTAATATACATGTTTCTTTACTATTATACATGTTTCTTTAATTTCTGGTCAAGGTAGAACTTATTATTCTCCACTTTGACAATATGTTCAAAAACGAAAGTGTTCTCCATAAGTTTCTTTAATTTTTACTAAACTGTTTAATGAGTGCTTGACTGAATCTAAATCTTGACACCTGTCCCCTCTAACTGCTATCCAGTCAGTCTTAACACAGAAGGCTAACACTCTTCTTCGTTTCTAGTACCTTCTGGAGTACCTAAAATGGGTATACTTGGTCCTGTGTTATTTTTTATCTACATTAATGACCTTCCTGACAATCTTACATCTAAAGTGGCTCTATTTGTTGATAAATAAACTTTATACCCCTGTCTAAATAAAAAAATTTATCTCACTTTTGTAACAGCTTGGGGCTTGTAGTGCCTTTTGAATTTTAACTTCAACAAAACTCAGTTGCTTACTTCAACCTAACTCTAATTGTGGTAAAGTTGCATCTCCTAGTTTCTACAAATGGTTGCTGCTCAAAGGAGCTATCATCTCTAGTTCCATTAACCAAAACTCATTCTCAATTGAATCGTCATTCAGCAAAGTCGCATTTTACTGTATCTGTTCCTGCATGCTCTAAAAATTATATAAACTATTTGCTTATTTTTTTTCTTCGGACTGTATTTATCACAGTCTAATTATTTAAAAAATTGATTATATATTCTGTATTTTATTGAAGTATATCTTTTATTTAGATTTAGTACGAATCAGCAGTGAACTTATACAGAAATTATCAAACAAGTTGGAAGACTGAAAACTTTGATACACTCAAAAAGTCACTTTTCAAGTTTAATTATTTCCTTTCGAAATTGAATATACAATCAATACCAAATTAGAGTCACAAAGTAAATTTAACTTTCTTAAAGCAATATTTTAAATAAAAAAAATTCAGAAGAAAACTTGTGATTGTTGTGTTGTTTCTTCTTCCTATAAATTAACCTTATTATTTAGCAACTAAATTTTCTTTTTAATTTATAATGTATTTTAAAAGAAAAATTTGAAAGAAAAAATGTTGTATTTTATAATATTAAAAAAAAAGAACAGGCTAAAACTTTTCTATATTATCTAACTTGTTTTTTTATTATTATTTTGCTTGCATCGCTTGTTATGAATTAGGAAGTATTAATCAAGGAAGAAGAGTATATAATACTTTTTGTAACATCAAAAGTATACTTTTTGAAATATTAAGTGAAATTGAGCTTCATATATATAAAGACTGTTCTCCTCTCATTTCGGTTTTATAAACTTATTGCTCAGGATAACTAATTAGACGTTGATATAAAAGGAATTAATGAGAATAAAATCAGCATGCAAAAACTTTTTGTTTTATCTTTTTTTTATTATTGTAAATGCTTACTCGACAGTTTCATTAGGCTTTTTTTAAATCATTTTCGTAAATCGACTTTTAGCTTGTTTAATCTGCCTAATCAAAGGCGCCAAAAAAATTAGGCACCTTTTTTTTTTGAGTAACTCAAACTATTAACCTGAGCAACATTCAAAGCAACTGTGCAACAGTAACTTTTAATCTTGTTAAAAAGCAAAGAAATTATTGGTTAAAATGAAGTATTGGTTCATTATATATGAATACCTGCAGCACTTAAAGTAGGCCAATTTCTACAAGAATATTTTTATATATGCCATTGCTTTCATTCAGGGCCGTCTCGAAGGGGGGTATAGGGGTATCATGCCCTCTTAAACCTGTCATATAAGCATTAGAGTTTGCACATTGAGCAAGTGTAGTTGGCAAATTACAAATATTGAGGACCTTTTTTTTCTTTTAGGTTTCTTTTTGGCAAAAAAAATACATACGACACCTCTCTGTTTAAATTTCATTGAACTACCTATTGTTGAAATATGGTTTCAATTTGGTAAATTTTAATGATTTGAAATTTATTATATTGATCATTAGCCAATAGTTAAAGAAAAGAAATTGACTTAAACATAATTGAGGTAAAAAAACTTTATTAACTGGTAACATTGCAGTTTAATGTTTTTTGTCGATATATTGTAGTTTTGTATCAGTTTAATGTTTTTGTCGATATATTGTACTTGTGATGTTAATAATAATATTTTTTGTTAAACTTAAGATGATATTGTTTTAATTTTTTGCTTAATATAGTTTTAGATTTTAAATATGTTCAAAATGATTTGAATGTTGTACATTAAGGTTTAAAAACGGAAGTAATATAATTAGGCTGTCTAAATAAAATACAATTTTAATAAAATTGTGTAGAAAATTTAAAAATGTGTGATTGCTTGCAAATTGTGTGATTGCTTACAAGATCCCCTTAATCTATTTGCTAAGCGCATTTATCGATACAAGTTTAATGAATAGATTACAAGATTAGATAAACCAAGTTTAATGGATAGATTGATGGCTATCTAAAACACAGGCCTATTAATCGTGCAAACCGTAAAAATAAATTATGAGGCCGATTAACTCAGAAAAATTTACCGAAGGTTAATAACGTTGCTTAAAATAAGAAAAAGAAAAAAATATTTCTTGAGGCTTATTATGCCTTTAAAGTGAAAAGTGTTGCGAATTGCTTTACTAATTATTTAACAGATAAAAAAGTGTGCTGTTTACAGATTACCAAAAGGTCCAGAAGAACGTAGAAAGTGGCCAAGAAGCAACATTCCTGAAAGCAAATACACTGTTGTATGTTCTAAACATTGGCCTGTAAATTTTGAAAAAATTAATGTTTATGTAACACATAAATAACACTTTTTGTCTTAGCTTAAAGCACCTTATGATGAAGAAAATCATGGAAATTTGGCTTTGGTCCAGCTCTTGGCCAAATATGACCCACTTTTAGCTTCTCATCTCTCCATGTGTCATAAGAAATTAATCAAAAAAATAGAAAAACTGAAACGTCATGACAAAGCCGGCAGTAAAGATCGCTGTGCTCTTGATTGCGTTTTCATGTAAGACTACTATATCAAAGCTTCTTAATATTATAAAAAACATGATACAGGAACAGATTTCAATGAAAGTGTCCAAAGCAAAAGTGTACTCCGTACAAGTTGATTCTACACAAGATATATCTAATTGACCAATTCAGCTTTTAGATGCTACTGTGCATGAACGGCTGCTTTCTATTGTACCAAGCACTGACGGTACTGGCCAAAGGATGTTCGATCTCTTTAATTTGACGCTAAAGCGGCTTGGCTTTAATTTGCAATACTGTCTATCGGACAGTACTTATGGTGCTTCAAGTTATCATGGCCAGAACAACGGACTGCAACAAAAGATTACAGAAGCTGCAGACCACCATGTACATATTTGGTGTTATGCTCATGTTCTCAACTTAGTTGTGAAGGAGGCAACCAGTTGCTGCATTCAGGCAGTTTCATTTTTTAACCTTTTGCAAAATGTTTCAACATTCATAAAAGTGTCATATAAGCGAATGGCGACTTGGATTAAATTTGTTGAAATACAAATTGGAATCAAAAGATTTTTCATATTTAATAGATAAATTTTGCATATATGATGCATAGACCGGATAGATGCATAGACCCGGCATAGTCACATCTTATTGTACTTCTCGATCTGAAGGGCTTTCAATGTCTGCTTGCATGAAACCTGCGTCTAGGAATAACTTTATGACTACGCTATCATTATAGTAGAAATTGATTGGTGAAACAAGGTGGTCGCATAAATCAAATGCTGCAACGGCGATATTTGGAACATTTTCTGAGCCATCTTCAATAGTGTTTGTCAATTTAATTTTTTGTCCGTCATTTATAAGCAAATCAGAAAATTTTGATTCAAAGACACGTCATGAAACTAAGACATTTCTCATGCCATTTCTGAAATTCGACACTATTTTGACTGCCTTTACCTACCTGCAAGTTTTTGAAAAATTGGGACCACTTTCAATATATCTGCAAACTCGTGGATTAAATGTGTTGGTTGCATTCAAGATGGTGGATAAGGCTGCAATTGAATTGAAAAGTCAATCAAGATTTTTTGATGATGTTCATAATAACGCTCTTCCATTTGTACGGACGGCAAACGCAAGCATCATCCAGAAAACTGAAACCATATTAGAGGTGAAGATAGAACTAACAGTTAAACGGAAGCGGAAGACACCGATGATGTTAGATAAACATACATGACGAATCTAAAGCTTTGGAGCCCTACAGAATTTGCACTTACAACGGGGTGATGGATCAGGTAGTCCAAAGTCTTAAGTCACGTTTCACTTCACATTGACAATTATATATGGACATGGCATATTTTGATACATCAAATTTTGGTGATCTTGCCATTTCGAGAATTTCTGAAAACAGTTTGCCTTGTTTACAAGATGAGATAAATATTATCAAATTTTACCAGATGCCAACGTTGATAAAATAAAGGCCAAACTGTTTTCATTTGTGATTAACTATGAGATTTTGAAATTATCTTTTCCATTAAAGACAACATTGAGAGAGATTGCCGATCAAAAGGATGACCCAGATTAACCGCATTGTTATCAGAATAATAATAAAGGATCGTGTCGATCTTGTGTGTTACGATTTCTCGCTGCATATAAACTCAACGACAAAACCTATGACAATTTGTATCATAATTATAAAAAAATATATACTAATTTTGTAACACAAACCGAAGGTGAAAGATCGTTTTCTAATTTAAAGTTAATCAAGACAAGATTGCGAAACTCTGGTGGTAATAACCACTTTTGGTTTTACATGACTTTGTAGCCTTGAGTATGATGCAATCATTCTAAGATATGCATCTTCGTCCTCTGAATTGAGCACACTGTTTTAAGAATAATTATTGCTATACTTTGCACTGTGGAAATTGCACATCACTTGTACTTTTTTAATTCAATCTAATTTTATTATTCTGTGATTTAATTGTTTCTCTTAAGACTTATTTTTAGAAAATTGAGGACCGCGCAGTCTTTGCGATATATGTATAGACGGGAGGGCCCTTTAATTATTTTTATGGCCTGTAATATATATACAGCCAGTCCGCCACTGGTGAGTAAGCTGAGAAAAGTATGAGATAACTTGGGGCTACTTTGATATGTGGGTAGCATTGACATTCATTAGATAAAAATTTTTACCTGTTGACTATTGTTTTATTATTTTACCATTTGTCAAATGAACCAGCCAGATGTCAAATGAACGAACATAACTATTTTTACTTGCATTTTAATATAAATAACAACATGATCATAAATTAATTACATTTAACTGTGGGCATAAATTAAAATATTTTCTTGCTTTTTTAGTTAACATTAGGATATGGATATTGAATGCCAAAACGCCCCAAAAAATACTCTAACTTTTACAATAATTTTCAAGTTCTACTATAATGATAGCGTAGTCATAAAGTTATTCCTAGACGCGGGTTTCATGCAAGCAGACATTGAAAGCCCTTCAGATCGAGAAGTACAATAAGATGTGACTATGCCGGGTCTATGCATCTATCCAGTCTATGCATCATATATGCAAAATTTATCTATTAAATATGAAAAAGCTATGAAAGATCATAGAGTATGAATGAACCAACCATTGTTCTTTGGAGAAATTGATTTCATAAAACCTAACGAAAGATTTAACAATTTGTTAAAAAACTATGATCGTATCTATTTTACTATTTTACACTTATTATGTCTAAATTTGTTATCAGTTTATAAATTAAAGTTTAAAAATCAAAAATTGATTTACACGGACCAAATATTTTACCAAAAATTTTGGTCCGTTTTCAAAACTTTTGAAATATTATCACGGATCATTT